AGCAATAAATGGCACCCAAACAGGAAAAGAAGTAAATTTTTTCTATTTGCAGATGACATGATGTTACATACAGGAAATCCTACTAGACCAAATAAAAAAAAAAAAAGACCACCCACCAAAACTATTGGCACTAATACATGAATTAGGCAAGGTTTCAGTTTACAAGAGTAATATATAAAAATCAGTAGTATTTCTATATACTAGCAAAGAACAATCTGAAAATGAAATTAAATACATTTACAACAGCATCAAACAGAATAAAGTACTAGGAATAAACTTAACAAATAAGTGCATAACTTGTACACTGAAAACTATAAGACACTGTTGAAAGAGATTAAAGAGGATCTAAGTAAATGGGAAGACATCCATATCATGGACTGGAAGAAATAAGATGGTCTCCAAACTGGTATAGTTTTAATGCAATCACTATCAAAACGACAAACTGATTTTGAAATTCATAGGGAAATGGCAAGGGAAGCAGAATAGTTAAAACAGTCTTGAATAAAAAGCGAAGTTGGAGGACTCACATTTCCCAATTTCAATGCTGCAGTAATCAAGACAATGTGGTACTGGCAAAAGGAGAAAAATATAGATCAATGGAGTAGAATAGAGGGTCCAGGTTAATAAACCCACGTATCTATATGCCAACTGATTTTGACAAAGGTGCCAAAACCTTTCAGTGGAGGAAAGAAGAATCTTTTCAACTGCTGGGACAACTGGATATTCACCTGCAAAAGAATGAATCTGGATCCCTACTTCACATCACATATAAAAATTAACTCAAATGGATCTAAGTTCTAAGACTATTAAACTTTTAGAAGAAAAAGGTGTAAATCACCACAAACTTGGATTAAGCAATGGTTTCTTAAATATGATACCCAAAGCACAAGAAAAAAATAGATTAACTAACTAGACTTCAAAATGAAAAACTTTTGTGAAAAGAATACTTTCAAGGAAGACAATTCACAGAATGGGATAAAATATTCCTAAATCCTGTATTTGATAAGGATCTAGTATCCAGAATATATAAACAATTCAACAAGAAAAATAACTCAATTAAAAAATAAGGAAAAAATTTGAAGACATTTCTTCAGAAATATACAAATCGCTATAGAACATGAAAAGATGCTTAATATTGTTAGTCATTAGGTAGATGCAAATCAAAACCACAATGAGATACCACTACTTATCTACCAGGATGGCTATAAAACAGATAACAAGTACTGGTGAGGATGCAGAGAAATTTGAACTCTCATACACTGCTGGTGGGAATGTAAAATGCTGCAGCCACTTCGGAAAACAGCTTGGCAGCTCCTTACAAGGTTCACTATAGAGTTACCGTATGACCTAGCAAAACCCAGCAGAAACGAAAACATATGACCATACAAAAATTTGGACAGTATCGTTCACAGCAGTATTATTCATAATTGCCCCAAAGTGTAAACAATCCAAATCTCCATCAACCAATGAACTGATAAACAAAATGTGGCACATTCATACAACAGAATATTATTCAGCCATAAAAAGAATGTAGTACTGACAACATACTACAATGTGGATGAACCTTGAAAACACTATACTAAGTGAAAGAAGTGGGACACAAAAGGCCACATACTGTATGATTTAATGTATATGAAATCTCCAGAACAGGCAAACCTAGAGAGAGTGTGAGAGAAGTGGTTTCTAAGGGATAGAAGAAGAAAAGAAGGTAGATACAAAAAAAAAAAGGAGGTAGAGAGTGGGAAGTGACTAATTGGTACAAAGGTCCACTTCTTTTTTTTTTTTTTAAGCTTTTTTGAAGTCTTTTTTTCTATTTTGAATATGCTTTTTTCCGTTATCCCAAATGAGTTGATAAAGGCTCTGATTAAACTGTTTTATGTTTTCAGGAATAAGAGTGACTTTTATTATGTAGTTAGTAGCTTGGAAAATTTTTATACAATTTTAAATGATTTATGATGTTCCATGTGTTCTTGTTTACATTTCCCTAAGCATCATTCTACCAAATTCCTAGTTTCCAAAAGCTGTAGTACCATACATAATATTTTAGTATGATAGTAGTTTTGTTTTAAAACTAGAATCAGGTTGATGTGACTTTAAAATTTATGCTTTGCCCATTTGTAAAACACTGAGATATTCACGTCACATTTCCTTTATTGTTTGACTATACACTTGTTGAAAGGTAAATTTACAGATCAAATGATGAAGCTTCATGTTTCAGTAAAAAAACTTTTGTCTTTTTACTTAAAGATTCATGGAATAGAATTTATACTTAAGCAGAATGACTACACAGAATCTTTTTCTGGAGTCAACTTAAAAGCAAAGTGGAACTGGTAGATCTTTTGGTTTTTGTTATTGACTTACTATATAGGACTCCCAACCAGGTATAGAGCATTAATATGAAATACTGAGAAATCCATAATCTTTAAAAAAAGGTGGGGGACGAAGTATACAAAAAGATCACATTACCACTAAGAGGCTGAAATGACTGGATTTGTAGTATTTTTTAAAACCTTCATTTTGGGTCAGCATAAATATCCTTTAATTTTTTTTTGCCCTATTTTCAGAAGCATTCCATTGAGGTTTAACATAGCAAGCCAATATAAAGTTCTACAATTCAGCAATCCTGAATTTTGAGTCATATTAAGATGAAAATGGAAGTCAGAACTTAGGAAAATTTTCATCTGTTACGTCTACTTCATCTTCTGCTTGTTGATCCTCTCTTAGAAAGGTGGACACCTTTCCTGTTCCAGATAGACACTTAGCTGACAGAAAGCTCTGAAAAGGCAACTGTGAATTTGCTCTTACAGTATCTAAATGAGATGGATAATTTGGTAGACACCTAGAGCTTCTGAAAACCTAGCTATCTGCTCATCAATCTTTTGTATATGTTGGTAGGAGGCAATGTATACCTCTAAAGCTTTGCTGTGGAAAAGCATTTCAATAGTGCTAAATTCTGAAAACATAATGTTTGTATCACTTGCTTTCTGCTTTTCAAAACTGCCAAGTTTCCTCCAGATGAGAGCTGTTTGCATGGCATCCACCGTGGCTCTCTGTAACTGGCTTCGCCCTGAAATGCGCGTCCAGCAGATAGATGGGCGTGCTGATTTGCCCTTTTTACTTAAGAGAGCTGCTTAGCTTCTCCATTCCTTGTTACTGATGTTGCCGTGGGGTTATCTTGTTTCGTTTTTACAACGGTTGCTTTGGCTGCACGTCTCTCAACTGCGGCGTGTCCGTTACCCTGAAGTTCTGCAAGCTCCTGAGCGATGTTTCCAGCCTGGCTTCAAATGTGGGGTCTCTGTGACGCCTACTCAAGGCTCTCACTCACCGGAAGGTCGGCCTTGCCTCCCAGTCTGGTAGTTTTCCGCGCTCCAGAATGCTTCCGTTCGAGCGGCCCCCATTCCGGTGGCGCTTCCTGCCCCGCCCCCCAGCCGCCATTCCGGGCCACACAGGCCCGACCCCGCGGCCTCAGGCTGGTGGCGTGGCAGGCGGCCTCCCTCGGCCTCGGCCCGAGGTGGGCCCGGAACTCGGCGGGCGGTCTGGGCTCCAGCCCACGGCCGAAATTCAACGTCGGGGCCAGGCTCCACTCACCCCCACGTCGCAGCAGGCCCTCAACGTCCCACAGAGCACATGGCCGGGGCCCTCAGCGGGAGCCCAACTCCACTGCTCAGAGCTGCCTGGGCCGCGCTGGGGCCACAGGGTTTCTTTTCGCAGAGATGAAAATGTTCTGGAATAAGACAGCGATGACGGTCGCACGACCCTGCCAACATGACTACAAAACCCGCCCAACTGTACCCCGTAAAACGGCGAATTTTATGGGTTGTGAATTGTATTTTACTACAGCAGTGCTATATTTATAAGTGAGAAGCTTCCTAAGTATCCAGCGACAGGTGAGTTAGGGTTGCAGACACCAGCGTCTGGAAAACGCAAACGCCACCGGTTCGTAAAGCTGAACACGAAATGGCCTCTAGGGGGAGCCCGCCGTGCCCACCCCAGCCGGCACTGTAACTAACTGCCTCACAAACGGAGGCCGCGACCGTGCCCAGGACAGAGTGGTGGAAAAGGAGTTCCATCCCTGCTGGTCTGGCCTCAGGACTTATGACCCTCAGGACACCACCTCAACTACAATTCCCACTGCCCTTGAAAGCTAGAGTTGGAGGCTTTGGAATGTTGCCCGTTTCGTCCAGGAAGTTGTCGCCTCAGTCTTCTTTCCTACTGGCTGTCTGAGTCACAGGACAGCTCTGCAGACCACCTCACGCCCGTCCAGGGAAAGGGGGTGTCACGGTTTCCGAGGTCAACTGGGGAGACGACGGGGCCTGCTAGACATCGCGAGTGCCAGCATGGAAGGGTGGCTTTGTCGCTAATGTCACAATTCGGAAAGCTTGGATTCAAGCCGCGATTCCAGCGCTTACTAGTTGGTGAGTTACCTCGGGCAAGTGACCACTTCACCGGGGCTCCTTAAGCGTCCGACAAAGGTACTACCGCCTAACTCCCAGGGCTGGTGTGCGGAGAGCGAGGTTAATGCCCGTAAAGCAGTCAACAGCGCCCAGCACTCAGTAAGCGCTCAGTACGCGTTACCTGTTAGGCTGACCTGTGTGAAAAAAGTCAACCACAACCTGAACTTTCAGGTAAACCGCCCCCGAGGGCCCGTAGTCCAGCCACTCGCAGCTGTTGGGTGGCATCTTCACATCAGGGTTTAGAAAAACGTTCCTTCGGGTCAGACACGGAGCGGCGACACTCGCGGTCCCCCTCCCCCGTCTCCACGGCTGCAGAGCCGACAGGAAGAGCCGGCTCCGCGCGCTCGCGGATCCCACACAGCCGGAGCTCGCCGGCCCAGCCCCCAACCCACGCCACGGTCAGGCCGGCGATCCACGTGCTCGACTCCTCCCCGCCCCCTTCTCAGGCCTTCCTCCCAATCCCCTCTCCGGTCCCGAGCTTTGCGGGGCGCGCAGCAGCCGCCTCCAGACCGACCCCAACTGTCACTCCTGATAGCGCAGACTTACTCGATCAAAAGGGTCCTTTCCGGCTTTCCCTCGGGCCCAGGGTCAGCAGGAGGAGCTGCTAGGCGTGGAAAGACCCGGAAAGACCGAGCCGTAGCGTCCGCCAGTTAGTTGCGTCCGTTCTTGTGTTACCTCAGCGGATAGGGCCATGGCGGCCGCCCCTTCCTTCTCATTGGATGCAGCTTCTGACTGTCTACGCCAATAGGGTGGATCTTAGGTAGGGGGCGGGGACCAGGGGCTTAGCTCCGCCCAGCTTGGCAAAAAGGCCGGGAGCCGGCGGCAGGCGAGACTGGGCTCGCCGCGTTTGGGGCGTGGCCATGCGTTTGGGGCGTGGCCACGCGCATTTTGGGGCTGGGCGGGGGCGGGCCGGGGCGGGGCTGGGCGGGGCCGGAGGCTGAGTTCGGACCTCAGGAGAGCCGAGGTGGCGTGTTCCTAAACCGTGGATACGACACCCGGCACCGGGTATTTTCTCTGTCTGTGGCTGGTCGATACAGCCTGGGAAGTTCCTTTCGCCGCTCGGGGCCACTATCTTTAAAACTGAGACTTGGGAAAGAGGAAATACTGTGTTGTGGGAAGGGCGAAGGAGGCTCTGAGATGAGTGAGAGAAAAAGGAACAGGTAGTGAACTGGTGGTAATGAGTTTCGCTGTGACCTCAGGTAGCTGAGGCTGCTGACCCTTGTTCTGCATGGCTCCAAGGTGCAAAGGAACGTGCCCTGAACGTCAATCAAGAGGCCTTGGTTCTAGGTCTATTTCTGTTTTCTTCTTGCTGTGTGACCTAGGGCGAGCCTCTTCCCTTTCTGTGCCTTGATTTCTTTTACTGAAACACGGAAGTTGTTCTAACGTTCTGATGGTCTCACCAGCTCAGTTTGTTCATACAACTAACATTTCCAGAATGATCTCTGTGCTGTGCCTTTTTCAGGTGTCAGCTGACAGCCATCAGATCTGAAAGGAAAACGGAAGCTTGTGATGGGCACTTGACTAGACTGACATTTTTGTGAGGCGAGCTGAGTTGTAATAGGCCAGGCTTGATTGCTGCAGGGAGCAGGCCTGGCACACCATGTGCCCTGTTAACCCAGGCCCCTGTGAGTGGCTAGACCCATTAGAAAACAGATTGTGGGGTTTATCAGTTGTACCCATTTTAAAAGCATTTTAGTCAATAATAAGGAAGGTGGGATTTTGGCTCTCAAGAATTTTATATTAAAAACTATGGAGTGGCAAGAGGTGATGAGGATAATGAGTGAAGTGAATATAGTTGGAATAAAGGACAGCTTCAGGAAGCTTGAGTGGCCTGGAAGAGAAAGTGGAGAGAGAGATTCTAAGCTGGACAAACAAGCTGACTGGAAGCCTGATCAAGGAATAGTGAGGCATTCGTTTTGGCTGGATAAGAGGGGAGTCTTAGAAGCAAAACTGGCAGGGTAGGATGGGTCAAATGGCAAAGGTAAGGACCTGCAGGCAGAGGGAGCCTCCGAAGGCTTGAGAGCTGGGGAGTGGCAAGACAAGAGCTTTGGGGAAGTCACCTGGGCAGCACTGTAGATGAAACTGGAGAGGAAAGATTGTGGAAGTCAGCTGGAAGCCTCCTTAGAACCTTCTTGCACCTACAGTCCTTTTGAAAGATAGGACTGAACCAGAGTGGCGGAGGCTGGGATGGAAGGAATGGGTGGAAGTGAGACATTTTAGAGGAGGGAGAATTCTGTGAGAGGAGTCAAAAGGGATTCCAACCTGCAGAGCCAGGGTCACTGGAGGAAGTTTGAAGGAGTTGGCTTGGGGTTTGCTGAGTAAATGAATGAATGGCAAACAGCTGGCCATTGGGCTCTCTTGAAAGTTCACTGAGGGAACCTGGGTATAGGCACAAGATGTGCCTTGGAGACCTGCAGCAGGCACATTGAGAAAAAAGATTAAAAAACATTTGCAAATCACAAAGGAAGCCTGGCCTTGGGCAAGTCTTTTGGCATCTGTGAACCTAAGGTTCCTCACAGGTGAAATGAGGATAATGATACCTGCTGAAGGGCCTTGTGCTAAGTAAATGCGATGACTGTAAAGCACCTCGCTGCTAGGTCTGCACTCCCACGGACTGAGCACCCTTTTTTATGAGGATGGCTTGGTATATAAATGGTGCATATTACTATCAAAGGTATAAATAATTCCTTTTTAAAATTTCCTCTCCAGAATTTGAAGCCAAGGCAAATAAGTTTTTATTTGAAATGACATCTAAAATGATAGACATTAAATTTGACTACATTAAAAAATACTTTTATAGTCCTTGTCATGTGTCACATATTTTCTAAGCCCTTTCCATATATTTGTTTTTTTAATTACAACAACCTGTGAGGCAGGTACTGTCAATGTCAACACTTTACTGATGAATTGAGTCCCAGACAAGTTAAGTTGCTTGAGCTGGTGAGTGGCACAGCCAAGA